GTACTCCTGAAATAATGCCCAAAGGTATTAGGGTTTTATTAGAAGGCAGGTACAAGTGTATGTGTTATTTATATTCTATTTGTTTTAAATACATATTTTATTTGCAGCACAATGATGAGAGCAACAGATGACTAAGAAGATCAAATATTCTTTTATAAGTAAATAAATATTCTATAGCAATCAAATACATGATTCAAAGTACTGGGTATAAAAATATCTGAAATGCAGAATTTAAAAATAGTGAAGTCCATCAACAGGTGACATTCACTCAAATTCAGTGAAGGAGAGAAGACTGATTTAAGGCCTAATCCTAAACTTGCGCAGACACAAAGGCATCCTATGGGGCAGGGCAGTTACAATGGGAAAGGCTTTTTCCCTGGAAAGCAGAGCTACAAGGGGGTAGCCAAGGGATTCCTTAGCTGTTCCAGAGTTTATCCTGAGGTCCACCTTATGAGGTTTCAGGCTTTCATTGGGCTTCGGACTTTATATTTTTTTACATGATGCTCAGAATAGGTCCAGGAATCACATAAGAGCAGCTGAATGTTACATTCTCACGGTGTGCAAGCCCCATACTAGGGTGGGAGGAGAATGGGGCTCTGCAGAGCACAGGCTGGTTGGTTGGTTATTTATGTACAGCTTTTTTATACTGTCCTATCACAAAAGTCTCAGGATGGTAAAACAACGAAAAGCACAGCATCATAAATTCTCAGAGAAAACCCATTTAAAACAACAATTAAGACTTCACATGGTGGGAAAATAAAAAGGGGTTGGCCTGGCGCAGAAAGGAATAAAGTGTCGGTGTGAGGCACACTTCTTTGGGAAGCATGTTCCATAGTCGGGGCGCCACCACAGAGAAGGCCCTTCTCCAGCTAGGCATTCCTGTGCTCTCTTTCAAGGAGGGCTCCTGAAGAAAGACCTGCAGCCCAGATCTTAGGGGGCAGGCAGGTATGCATGGAAGGAGGTGCTCCCTCAAATAGCCTGAAGTAGAGCCACCTTGGACACTTTCAATGGGGAACAAAGAGGAAGAGCTGTTTATATAAATGAGTGAGTGGGACACAGCTCCATCCTGGTGAGATGATTATACTGATGCAGCTTTCTGCTAGTGAAAGACTGGGAGGAGAACAGGAAGCTGCTCCGAGAGCAGCGACTGCCAGCTTCCCTGCCCTCAGAATCACCCACTTCACCCCTTCTCTGAAAATCAGCCAGGTGTGTGTCCCTCCCCACTGGCGCCACCTCCACCACCTGGATTCACCAGGTTTCAGTGCAGCGGCTGCTGAGAGTCATTTGCAATACATTTTTATGACCTATGAAATAAAGGATGGTGTAACCAGAAAAGGTGATATTTTAAAATGTTGGTATCACGGAACAGAACTGTCAGAGGTGGTTATTTTTTTTTTTCTTCCTTCCCTTCCCTGGGAGGAAAACCTCTGAACAAACAAAGCCAGATGTGGGCTAGTCTGGATTCTCAGTCTCCTGTGAAAAAGGAGGGTCTGAGTTGGATGGTCCATGGACACTGCCCACCTCCAGATGCTTTGGACTTCAATTCCCATCAGCCCCAGCCAGCACTGAAAATGTCCGGGAATGCTGGGAGTTGCTGTCCAAGACATATCAAGGGCACCAGGCTGGGGAAGGCTGCCCTAGATCATGCTAGTGATGGAGAATTTCTGCCTTAGCATCCGATTCTTTTCCCCAGAACCAGCTTGCTTTCCTCCAGCCCTCAGTCATTTGGAGCTTTTTTTAGCTTTTGCACAGTCCCCCCCCCCCCCATTTTAGATATTTTAGGGTTTGGAGTACCCCTGGCTACATGCAAAACAGCGGTGTTCTCTCGAAATTACTGTTATGTAAACAACCCCTCTATGTAAACCACATTTCAGTGGGCATCTCTGAGTGCCCAGAAACCACGGTCCAGACTGTCAGCTCAGATAGGGCTTGCGTCAGGAATCCGACAGGATGCATTTTGATCCCTAGCAGACATCACTCACTCTGGCTGACAGCAACACCGCTTCCATTCAACCTCACAAAATTCAATTTCTTTCTCGTGGCTTTTTGGTCCTGGAATTCAGCCACTTGAGGATAAATGGGAAGGGGTGGGGGTCAGACAATGCTTCATCTTTTTTTACTTTATGGTGTGAAAGAGCTCTAATTATACTGATTAAAATAAAAAAGAATAAGCCCTCGGTCAGTTAGGGCAGGGAGTGGACAGAACCTGAAACAGTAACAATGGGAGGAAGCTCATTAATTCAGTGAAATTATTTCCAAGTAGGCATGCATAGAACTGAGCAGTAAAAAACTTGCTGCACTTAACTACCCCCTTGGCAATCCCACACTTGTTTGACAGAATTAATTCCTCCTGTGTTCTGGGGTGGTTACTCTCAGGAAAACAAGCACAGAGTGGTTGTGTCAATCAGGGGGCTAAGATGGAGATACCTGGGGAAGAGGAGCAGAGTTTCGGGTGACGGGTCTACGAGAAGAGTTCTGGCACCGGAAACAAATTCCCAGGCTGAGCATGTTCTGTGAAGCAGCTGTACTGCTTAATTCTCAGGGGGTGGGTTCACATGACATGATAAGCCACAGTGCTTGCACTGGATGGTAAGTCGTGTTGTGTCAGCATTTTAAACATACCATCAGCATGGTATATTTAAAACTGCTCCACGCTTCATCATGGTTTCCATGCTTGACCATGGTTTCTCCAGACATCCGAACCCAGCATCATGGTTTCCACCATGGCAACCACCACAGAGTCCCCTGGAAAGACCAGTCGCTGCAGGTGCAGTGTGGGATCGAATTTCAGGCAACGTGGCTGAGGGGATATGTGCCGACAGTGGAAAGCCTGAGAGAGGAGGGTGGAAACCACACTGGCGTAGAAACCACTTGATCCTCTCTCAGGCACATCCCCACAAAAACCTCTGGACCTTGGAAAACATGCAAGGTTAATTGTCCTGACATTTGAACCCAGCCAGTGTATGTCTGCACCCCTGACCCAATATTGTGCACCTGTTTCCAGCTGATGGACCTTGGACTTCTAACAAACACAAAGCAGATTCCTGCATATCTGAATTCTGGGCACCATTAATTAGGAGACATTTGGACATTTGCTGAGCTCTTCTACACATGATTTTTATCGCACATCCATCATTCACAAGTTCTTTGGACAGTGATGCTTCCCTTCTGTTTTTTAAGACTCTCAGGGAGGTGGAGGCATGAGCATGAGAAATGCAATATTATTTGTTGAAATGAAACAAAATGCATTTCTACACATGTGCGATTGCATTCTTCCACTATGCCATATCGCCACCTACATGCCATGTAGAGGAAAAGCAGAAAAGGAAAAACATTTCTGAGCTGATTAAACCAAAAAGTGATGCAGTAGATTAACAGGCTTATGCAGAAAAGCTTGCAAACAGTTCTCCTCTATAAGCACAAGGTGTGCCTTTGTGTGTTGTGAGTCTGTGCATGTACATAGTTGGGCAAGCAGAAGAACAAGCCCTCACTGCAAACACTCGTGAAACACTCGTAAAAGTGCACCAAGGTTGTACCAAGGTTCTGTGTTTGCAGGCAATGTTTCTGAGAATCTCTCACGCTTCTTTGTTCTCCTATTCTGCATGCAAAATTATCAGAACCAAGTACGCAGGCCAGAAGCTGAATACTGTCAGCTCCTGGCCTCTACCCCTGAAGACAGAAACATTTATCTCCTGCTGCAATTAAAAGTGCCATGCCCCACGAGTCTATTTTTGGTACTGTTGCACCTAATTAGGAGCTGAGTATCATTATCGTGTGGTCGGAGACTGAGGGAACTGGGTTTCTTCAGCCTGGAGAGGAGGAGACTCAGAGGGGACCTGTTGGCGACACACAGGTACGTGAGGGGGTGTCACACGGAGGTGGGTTGAGACCTGTTCTCCCCTGCAGAGGAAGGCAGGATGCGCTCCAACGGGGCAAAGCTCAGGGAGCCAAGGTTCCATTTAGATGCCAGGAAGCACTTCCTGACAGTCAGGACCCCGAGGGTATGGAATGGGCTTCCACGGGAGGTGGTTGGGGCCCCATCGGTGAGGGTGTTCAAAGACAGACAGGACATGCACATGGTGGGCATGTCGTGAGCGGAGCCGGCTGGAGCCGGGGGTCAGACCAGATGGCCAGGGAGGCCCCTTCTGCCTCGCCCTGTTTCTGTTTCCAAAACAGCCTGCCACACATCAGGCCATAAATGGGTTATGCATCCCATTGCATCTGCAGATAAACCAGGAGTGCCACATGTAGCAGATCTTTGCCACAGAAAAAAAGAAGTTACAGACATCCAGCATTTCTAGCACCACCTCGAATGACGCACATTTGTATCATCAGAGAATTTGCTGCACACCATTAAATCGACCAACTCACGTCCCCCACGCCGTGCTCGGCTTTCTTGCTACAAGTCTGTAACAAACAGAACCCCGATTCAACTGCCTGGGGACCCCCAATTTTTTTGTTCTCTCACTTTTGCGCCTTGGAAATCAAATAAATTGCAGTTGCTCAAGTCTACGCTTAGCAGGTCTTGGAAGAAGCCAGGATTTATGGAAAGGCAGATGACAAATACCCCCCACACTGACAAAACAGAGCAGTTCCAAATGCTAAAAGTTATTGGGGAGGCGAGAAAAAAAATGGTGGTTGCGTTACCTACGTTTTCGGGAGAGCCCCTCGGGAGGTCTTCAGGCATTGCGGTGGCAGCTGTCACAAAACAACACCACTGATAACAGGTGCAGAAAAAGAAAGATGAAAACCAACACAGGACAAACACACAAACGCACACATAACAAGGAAAGAAAAAAAATTAATGCAATGGACAATGACGCAATGAAGAAATTAATCTAAAGCAATTGAAAAGAAATTTAAACTTACAAAAAACAAGAACAGAAGCTCCTGGGGAGATTTTTGAGAAGATGAAAGTGATGAGTTGGCATTAACTCAACCAAAATATGCACGTTGGATGGAAAAAGGGATTCACAGAAGAGGGATAAGGAAACATGTACCTGTACATGGGGACAGTGACCGTTCGCTCATAGTAATTCCAGGTGGAGTGCAGGTCCGTCCGCGTGAGGTTGGTGGCGTAGAACCTCCACGCAGCCTGTGGGGAAAGAATGAGAGTGGGGTGGAATTTTTTCCGAGTAGCACATTCCAGCACCCCTGGAATTCTCGAAATTGAGGTTTCTCATATGCACAAAGAGGCAATGTGAGGCGAAAGCAGGAAGAATTACCTAAAGCATTGCTTATCTTGAATCTCAGCTTCCCAAGCCTGAAATTAAGGATGGCTTTGCATGAAGCGGAGCACAGCTCTGAAGAAGAAGAAAGCAATTCCTAAGCTGATTTCCTAACGTAACGTGTGATGCGGCTTTCCTGCACACAGCTCCATGCATGGAGCATATTTTGCATGCAAAGGTTCCAGGTTCAAACCCTGCCATGTCCAGGCAGGGCTGGAAAAGACCCAGGATGGCCAGTGCCGGGCAATATAAACATAGCTAAACATCAAGGTAGCATGTCAAGTCACCTTTGCTAAGCTGGAAAGGCTCAGGCCCAAAGCTGGATGGGTGACCACGTGTGGAAAGAGAAGCAGGGTTTTGGACCTTATAGGCCCTTCCCAACTCTACAGCTCTTCTGTGCTATGCTGTGCTATTCTAAATTTTTGGCTCAAGGCAGCTTCCTATGTTGTATTGGACGGGCTGTACCAGAAGGATGGCAAGGAAACCATTAAGGTTCAATGCATAGTGTAGTGAATTTCCCCCAAGTCCAAAAGCCAGGATGGTTTCTTGAAGCCATGCGAAGGCCCTCGGACCTTCAGGTGGTTAGGAAGAGCACCAAAGGCAACTGCCTTCCCCAGTAATTCTGTAAACAAGACTGCTTTTGCTGTGAGAACAACTGTTTGCCTTGCAGAAGCAGCTTCACCTCCTTGCCCCTTTTTCCAAGAAGGGAGGGTGGCAGCCTGTGTCCAAACTGCAGACTCTGCAACAGGGGGAGAAAGGAACTTTATAGAAGCTGTAGCAAAATGCTTTTCACAGAACAGCAGAGTTGGAAGGGGCCAAGGAGGCCAAGTCCAACCCCCTGCTGTTGCAGGACACCAAGTCGCACCAACCTACTTGGAGGGCTGTCCAGTTCCTTTTGAATGTCTCCAGTGTGGGAGAGCCCACCTCCTCTCCAGGCAGCTGGTCCCACTGTTGTATTGCTCTGACAGTGAGGAAGCTTTTCCTGATGTCCAGCCTGAATCTGGGTTGTTGCAACTTGAATTGATTATTCCGCATCCTACACTCTGGCATCAGGAAGAAGAGATTGTGACCTTCCTCTCTGTGACAGCCTTTGAGGTACTTCTAGAGGAATACCATGTCCCCCTCAGTCTTCTCTTCTCAAGGCTGAACATGCCCCGTTCTCTCAGCCTCTCTTCCTAGGGCAGTGTTTTCAAATCCTGGATCATTTCTGTTGCACTCCTCTGGACCCTTCCTAACTTATCTGCATCCTTCTTAGATCTTGGTTCCCAGAAATGGACACAGTATTCCAGGTGAGGTCTGACTAGTGAGGAGTATAAAGGAACTACTACTTCTCATGATTTGGAAGTGATACTTCTGTTGATGCATTCAAAAATAGCATTTGCCCTTTTGGCGGCTGCATCGCATTGTTGGCTCATGTTTAGCCTATTGTCCAAACATTTTCTGCCTGAGAACAACTGGTGCATCATTCATGCAGGAAACTTTGAAGGCCCATGGAACATTCAGGGCCTATTCGGAAAACCAACATGAGCACAGAGAAGGGGAGTAACAAGCTTTCTTTCAGCTTGCTTATATTCTGCATCCAGAGGTAATCATTACATTTGATAAACTGTGTACCATTATTAACACAAGTGGTCAGACTAATACGCTTTGGCAGGACCAGGCTGCTGAGCTGAAAGCATACCTTCATTTCAGGCAGGAACAAAACATCACAAAACATCTCCTTGAAGGAGATCAGAAGAATGGCTACCTGGAGAAGGGCCTTCTCTGTGCCGGCACCCCAGCTGTGGAACATGCTTCCCAGAGAGGTGTGCCTGGCTCTGACACTTTATTCCTTTCAGCGCCAGGCCAAAACCATTTTATTTTCCCAAGATTTTAAGCCTTAGTTGTTGTTTTAATTGGGTTTTATCTGAGGATTTATGAAGCTGTGTTTTTCATTGTTTTACCGTCCCGAGACTTTTGTGCTCTGCAAAGCCCCATTCTCTGGCAAACGTTCCTTCTCCCTCTTTAACATCTCCCACAACATGCCGCACGGCATGTCACCATCACGCTGAGGATCTTCACACCCACACCAGCACGGAACTGAGGTGGAGAAATGCAGAGTGATGAAGTCCCACCAACGGTAGCTTCGTGGCAGGCAGGGGAAGGAAGAAGCTATGAGCCATCCAGCTTTCTTCCCCTCCCCTCCCTCCCTCCCTCCCTCTCAATCTCTCCACAAAGATTCTGGCACTCCTCTTGTAGAAAAAAAAGGCGTGATAGCTACGTTTTAAGAATGCACAGGCATCTGTTCTTGCAAACAAAACTAAACCCTGCATCCCTGTTCCAACCCTGGCTGCACAAGCCAACATGGGTACAGGAATGCTCAGGCCATTAGGAGATGAAGCCTGCTCATGCAACTAATTAAACCCGTCTGCCTCGTCTCACTTTCATCTCACTGGCACCAGCTCAGGACAAGCCGACAGGGCCTGCTTTCATCCTGTGGGGGAGCGTGGTGCTCAGCCGGTGTTTTTGTTCGCCTGCTCGATTTTTCTTAGCTGATGCTCAAGTACCAGGATGAGCAGCTGGAGGCAAAGGTGCAGCCCCCACGGGGTCCTGGAACAGCACCCTGCCAAAATGCAATGGCCCGGGGCAGAGGGGGTCACAGTGCAGGTCGCCCACCCTGCCCCAGCAGCAGCCAGCAGAAGTCCTGAGACCACACAGTGCCCACACCGGCTTCCGTATCCAGATGTATCCACGTAGTGCTCATGAGCAGAACGGAGGCGCCCGATGTTCCCCATTCCCCCTGCTTTGGGTTCCAGTCAGAAGAGGGAGGCAGGGTGCCCTGAGTCCTTCTGAGAAAAGCTGGCTAGGGGATGCTGGGAACTGTAGTGCTTTTTCCATCTAATCCAGAATGGGATTGCAGCTTGAAGCACCAAGTTCATTGCTGCGGCTACCGCGACATCGAGGGATTCCCTGGAGCTGAGCTCAGAGGATCGGCAGCCTCTGGCAGCTGAGTCCCCATCCCAGCCTCCCGTGGCCAGTGCAGGAAGAACAGCTGGATGCAACTGGATGCAACTGGCCATCAGAGGGGAGGAGGAGACGTGCTGGTAAATGGGAAGAGGCTTGGGACACAGACCTATGGCTATTCCAATCCACAGCCTTCCCTCCCCTTCCACACACTGAATCGAGATGGCTAAAAACTGCCCTCTAGCGAGGGTACCTGGCACAAGGCATGGTGGGAGCAGAGACTGCCAGTGGCCCAAGTCAAGTGAATCCCAGAGGTTTATGTGCATCTGTGTGTGTGTGGGGGGGGGGGGGTGCAACAGAATGCACTATAAATAAATTGTTATTGTTGTTGTTATAGTCAATATAGTGTGCACGCTGTATTTTGCAAATAATGTGATGTTGGAAAATAATGTTGAACAAGGCAAAGTACTTGCTAACCATATTGTGGCAAACCAGCATAGGAACACAGAAACAGAGCGAGTCAGAAGGGGCCTCCTGGGCCATCTAGTCTGACTCCTGGCTCCAGCCGGCTCCACTCATGACATGCCTACCATGTGCATGTCCAGCCTATCCTTGAACACCCTCCCTGATGGGGCCTCCACCACCTCCCATGGAAGCCCATTCCACACCCTTGGGGTCCTAACCATCAGGAAGTGCTTCCTGGCATCCAGATTAAACCTCGGCTCCCTGAGCTTTGCAACAGAATTATAGATTCATAGAATAGTAGAGCTGAAAGGGGCCAGAGAGCGTTGGGTCCAAATCCCTACTCAGTGCAGGACTCCTGGTTAAACCATCCCTCTCAGATGGCAGTTCAGTTACATCCTGAAGGCCCCAGTGCGGGAGCGCCCACCATCTCCCTAGGTCATGGTTGCAGTGCTCCAGCATTCAGGAAATTTTTCCTGCTATCTAGGCAGCATCTCCCCTTCATGGAGCACTGCCTTGCCATGGCAAAGGGGCTTGTGTAGCGCAATGAAGCTATGAGCCATGCCGTGCAGGGCCACCCAAGACGGACAGGCCATAGCAGAGAGTGATCCACTGGAGAAGGAAATGGCAACCCACTCCAGCATCTTTGTCATGAAAACCCCATGGACAGTACCAAAAGGCAAAAAGATATGACGCCGGAAGATGAGCCCCTCAGGTCGGAAGGTGTCCAATATGCTACTGGGGAAGAACAGAGGGCTAGTACTAGTAGCTCCAGAAAGAATGAAGCGACTGGGTCAGAGCCGAAAGGACACTCAGTTGCAGATGTATCTGGTGGTGAAAGGAGAGTCCGATGCTGCAAAGATCTATACTCCATAGGAACCTGCAATGTAAGATCTATGAATCAAGGCAAGCTGGATGTGGTCAAACAAGAGATGACAAGACTGAACATCGACATCTTAGGAATCAGTGAACTAAAATGGACAGGAATGGGTGAATTTAATTCAGATGACCATCAGGTATACTACTGCGGGCAAGAATCCCTCAGAAGAAATGGAGTAGCCTTCATAGTCAATAACAGAGTAGGAAAAGCAGTACTGGGATACAATCTCCAAAATGACAGAATGATCTCAGTTCGAATCCAAGGCAAACCATTCAACATCACAGTAGTCCAAGTCTATGCCCCAACCACTGGTGCTGAAGAGGCTGAACTTGACCGGTTCTATGAAGGCCTACAACACCTTCCAGAATTAACTCCAAAAAATGATGTCCTTATCATCATGGGGGACTGGAATGCTAAAGTAGGAAGCCAAAAGATAACCGGAATAACAGGCAAGTTTGGCCTTGAAGTACAAAATGAAGCAGGGCACAGGCTGGTAGAATTTTGTCAAGAGAATACGATGGTCATAGCAAACAGTCTTTTCCAACAACCCAAGAGACGACTCTACACATGGATGTCACCAGACCATCAACACAGAAATCAGATTGACTATGTGCTCTGCAGCCAAAGATGGAGAAGCTCTATACACTCAGTAAAAACTAGACCAGGAGCCGACTGTGGCTCAGATCATGAGCTTCTGGTTGCAAAATTTAGGCTGAAATTGAAGAAAGTAGGGAAAAGCACTAGGCCACTCAGGTATGACCTAAATCATATCCCTGATGAATATACAGTAGAGGTGACAAATAGATTTAAGGAATTAGATCTGATAGACAGAGTGCCTGAAGAACTATGGACGGAGGTTCGCAACACTGTACAAGAGGCAGCAACTAAAACCATTCCAAAGAAAAAGAAATGCAAGAAAGCAAAATGACTCTCTGAGGAAGATTTACAAATAGCTGAGGAAAGAAGGGAAGCAAAAGGCAAGGGAAAAAGAGAAAAATAAACCTAATTGAATGCAGAATTCCTGGAAATAGCTAGAAGAGATAAGAATGCCTTCTTAAATGAACAGTGCAAAGAAATAGAAAACAATAGAATAGGAAGGACCAGAGATCTCTTTAAGAAAATTGGAGATATGAAGGGAACATTTCATGCAAAGATGGGCAAGATAAAGGACCAAAATGGCAGGGACCTAACACAAGAAAGAGCTTAACGTCCCTGATAATCACGATGGGGTGGTCACTGACCTCGAGCCAGACATCCTGGAATGTGAAGTCAAATGGGCCTTAGGAAGTCTGAGCAACAACAAAGCTAGTGGAGGTGACAGTATTCCAGCTGAGCTATTCAAAATCCTAAAAGACGATGCAGTAAAAGTGCTACACTCAATATGACAGCAAATTTGGAAAACTCAACAGTGGCCACAGGATTGGAAAAGGTCAGTTTACATTCCGATCCCAAAGAAGGGCAATGCCAAAGTATGTTCAAACTACTGCACCACTGCACTCATTTCACATGCTAGCAAAGTGATGCTCAAAATCCTACAAGCTAGGCTCCAGCAGTATGTGGACCAAGAACTACCAGAAGTACAGGCAGGATTTCGAAGTGGCAGAGGAACTAGAGAGCAAATTGCCAACATACACTGGATCATGGAGAAAGCTAGGGAGTTCCAGAAAAACATCTACTTCTGCTTCATTGACTATGCTAAAGCCTTTGCTTATGTGGATCACAACAAATTGTGGCAAGTTCTTAAAGAGATGGGAGTACCAGACCATCTTATTTGTCTCTTGAGAAACCTATATGTAGGTCAAGAAGCAACAGTGAGAACTGGACGCGGAACCACTGATTGGTTCAAAATTGAGAAAGGAGTTCGGCAAGGCTGTATGCTGTCACCCTGCCTATTTAACTTATATGCAGAGCACATCATGAGAAAGGCAGACCTAGATGAATCACCATTTGGAATTAAGATTGCTGGGAGAAACATCAACAACCTCAGATATGCAGATGATATCACTCTCATGGCAGAAAGTGAAGAGGAACTAAAGAGCCTCTTGATGCGGGGGAAGGAGAAGAGTGCAAAAGTTGGCTTGAAACTCAACATTAAGAAAACTAAGATCATGGCATCCGGTCCTCTCACTTCCTGGCAAATAGATGGCAAAGAATGGAGGTAGTGACAGATTTTATTTTCCTGGGCTCCAAGAGCACCGCAGACGGGGACTGCAGCCAAGAAATTAAAAGGCGCTTGCTCCTGGGGAGGAAAGCTATGGCAAATCTAGACAGCATACTAAAAAGCAGAGACATCATCCTGCCAACAAAAGTGCGTATAGTCAAGGCTATGGTTTTCCCAGTTGCAATGTATGGCTGTGAAAGCTGGACCATAAGGAAGGCTGAGCGCCGAGGGACTGAGGCCTTTGAATTGTGGTGCTGGAGGAGACTCCTGTGAGACCCTTGGACTGCAAGGTGATCAAACCGGTCAGTCCTAGAGGAGATCAACCCTGACTGCTCTTCAGAAGGCCAGATCCTGAAGATGAAACTCAAAAACTTTGGCCACCGAATGAGAAGGAAGGACTCCCTGGAGGAGAGCCTAATGCTGGGAACAATAGATGGCCAAAGAAGAAGGGGAGGGCAGAGGATGAGGTGGCTGGATGGGGTCACTGGGGCAGTCGGCGTGAACTTGGGTGGACTCCGGGGGACGGTGGAGGTCAGGAAGGCCAGGAGGAATGTTGTCCATGGGGCCGCGATGGGTCGGACACAACTTCGCGACTAACAACAAGGCAGTGTCTAGCTTCCTGTAACCTGAGCCCGTTATTCTGCATCCTGCACTCTGGGATGATTGGGAAGAAGGCTTGTCCTTCCTCTTTGTCACAGCCTTTCAAGTCCTCGTAGAGGGCTATCCCACATCCCCTGTCTTCATTTCTACTGGCAAAATATACCCAGTTCTTTTATCCTCTCCTCCCAGGGCTTTGTTTCCACTCCCTGGATCACCCTTTTTACCCTCGCCTAATACCCCCCTTTTGCAGTACTTAAATGCAACATTCCAAACTTAGCCTGCACAAACCTTTTTCTTCAATGGAGTGAGCTCTTCCCAAGAGGAATGGTGGCACGGCTGGAATGTTTGAATTTAGATGGCCTTGTACCCCTGCCCCCCTTCCAACATCTTGCAGCCTGTCCCACCTCGCAAGGTTGGTGTGAGGACAAAATGGGACAACCCCCAATGCCTCTCACTCGCATGAGCTAGGAAAAAAATACAGATCGACTGATGCCTTCCAACTGTGACAGGCATAATTTGAATTGATTGCCGGCTCAGCATTCTCTTGGCACGGCATACGGGAGCTGTCGGTGCAAAGCTGAACCGGAGTGCAGATTTTCCATTTTGCAAAGCCCTGGAGTGCTGCACGCCGTCAGGAAGACCTCACAGCCAAGGGAAATGATTTGCTGGCTTTTGCTGTCTGCTAGGGGAAAATAAATGAACTCTCGCTCTGTGTCTTGGGAATTGGTTCACCAGGGAGAAGTGCCGGAAAGCCTCCGTTAAGTGCCTGAAGTGGTACTTGTCCCACTGAGAGAAAAATCACCCAGGATCAGGACAAAGGCAAGTGCAGCAGACAATTCCCACATCCGCCCTCCATAAACTTAGCCAGGCTTCCCCAGCTTGAAGCTGTCCAGATGTGTTGGACTGCAACTTCCACTGGGGTTGATGGGAGTTGTTGTCCAACCCAGTACCCAACTCATGTGTCTCCTGAAAATTAAAACAACGCAATTTTCATAAAGACACACAAATGCTTTTCTGCATCAGAGACCTCTGAGCTCATGGGAATTTTGCAAGGCCCAAACCCCAAGCTCTCCACAACATCCCCTCAGAGCTGCTACGCCAGAGGACTGACTGGGCTCAGAAACCTGGCCAGGTGGATGTTTTGGGAAGGCACCTCTCAAGGCGTGACTCGTTTGGATGCGGGACAGCTGAAAGCAGCCGATGTGTGAAAAGTCTGCCTGGTCTATTTGTCCGACTACTAGAGGATTCCTGACTTGCAATCACTGAACAACAAAAACAGCAAAATCATTCCAGAACAGAAAGCATCCAGTCTTCCAAACAAACCCCTGAGCTCTGAAGCTGGGCATCCAAAATGAGGTGATCGAGAACCGGCTGCCGGGCTGAATTGCAGGGTAGGAGAAAAAGAGAGGCGTAGCGCACCTCCACCTGTCCTCCCACACTGCCTAGGATGCCCATAATTCTCTGCGTTCAGAGGCTTACGGGCATCCCCACTGAGTCAGAGTATAAGCTCCCCTGTGGCAGTTGCCTAAGGCTCGCTGTTCCTGCCGGAGCCCCCACAGCTGCGAGCACGTGGGACGCTGCTCGCTTACCTGAATCAGGCCCGCTGCAGGATTCCTCCTCTTCTCAAAGTGCTTCTGCCGGTGCTGCTCTTGAACTTTCAGTGCAAATCCAGAACCGAGGATGCCCTGGAAGAAAGAGCAATATTGCTTCTATTCGATTTCCAGCTGACTTCTGGAACGATTCCTTCTTCTAGTGAGTGCGAGCAAAGAGAGAGAGACTGTCTCACAAACAGATGAGAAAATGCCACACCGCAGCAATTTCTGCAGGTGTGTTTTCTCGCCAGGGGCTTTGGTCAGGGCAAAGGTTTCTAAACCACTCTGCTTAAAGGACCCTTTTGTGTGGCTAGCTGGGAAAAAGGCAAACCCCAAATTAGGCATAATCAGGAAAAGAACCAAAAAGAAAATTATTCTCTTGTATCAATCTACGATGAACCCATACTTAGAATACTGTGTACATTTCAGGTCACCACACTAAACAAAGACATTAATTATAAAGTTGGGAAAAGTGTTCCAAAATCAAAAGTTGCATTAAACCCTCCCTCCCCCACCCATTGTGCTATTGTGGGTCTGTTTATCCTTCCCATGTTGTAGCATTAGTATTTTAGCTATCAAAAGGGCACAGAAAATCCATTTATATTGACCTCGTGTTAAAATCCAAGAGATGGATTGGTAGTTGAGGGAAAATATCACTGAATATTAAAAACTTTCCATCATCCATTTATCTGAAGAATTATGTCCTCCCCAAAAGAAGCTGCCATTCAGCATCACCAGAAAAGAAGCACAATCCACATTATGCTTCCAACAATTGGCTGATTTAATTAAGCCCTTACCTAGGAGACATTACGTGTCTTGCACACTCAAAACATCAGTTTTTGCTAAATTAAACCTAGCAAAAGTGATCTGCTTTCCAAAATGTTCTGTTGTCCTCCATTTTTATTGTATCGAAGTGCACATTCAGGCTTTTAAAAATTCTCAAGGAGTCTTTTGAAGACCCCAAAACAGCATGTTAATATTTTCATGAATCAACCAGTAATATTTTCACCACTGATTAAACACAAGGTGCTTTCAAGCAAAGCATTTCTGCCGCCATCACTGTACGTCATTCACAGAGGTTTACAGGGATCCAGATAATGACATATTTTGCTTATGACCTTCCTATAAGCAGTTTCCTCACTGCTTCTTCTGCCCTTTACTTTAACAAAGAGACTCCATGAAGTCAAAAAAGACGCTGCAGCCTTCCCATTGCAAGCAACCATACACGTTCTTCTTTTGGGTTGTGATTTTTTTTCCTTAAATAAAAAATTGACTTGCCGAGTGCCTACTTACAGCTGGGAGGGCAAAAAAGGAAACACCAATCAGAGTAAATGTTGCTGCTAGAAGACGTCCATTCCAGGTCTGCGGATACTTGTCCCCGTAGCCAATGGTGGTCAGCGTAATCTAAGAAAACAAAGAATCCATCATGCAACCCACCAAGAGTAAACATGGCTCAGCACTGCAACCAAAACAAGGTATCGCATGTGCTTAAAAGTGGGCATGTTAAAATAAATACGTATTCATTTGTTCACAGTATTTATGTACCACTCCATGTCTAATGGATTACAGAGTGGTGAACAAAAAGACAATAAAGCAGATAAAATATGGAACAAGTTATTAAAAGCAGGATATCTGTAAAACTATGGCTGGTCAACCAAGGAAGCCTTCCTGGAATAAGTAAGTTTACAGCAAGTTAAAGTACCTCTAAAAAGGTTCCTCTTAAATCTCAATGATTTTTGCAAACTCACAGGGGTAGAACCATTAAATCCACAGCCTAAATGTAATTCACTGCATTGCTGGACATACTGAAGTAAAACTGCTTTCGAACTAACCCAAAACCTCCAAGTTCAGAGTTCTATCCAACACTGACCTCCATCAGCAGAATGCGAAACTCTGCCGGAATGGATCTCCCCGCCACTTTGAACCCACAAACACCCACGCACAAATGCCAGGTTGTTCCAGAGGGTTGGGAGACCATTTGTAGCAGGTTTCAGGATACCCCCAAGGACTGTGGGGAAGAGGTATGCAGGAGAAAGCGCAAGAGGAGATTATCATATCATCGATTCATACTGTTGGAAGGGGTCAGGCAGGCCATCAGGTCCAACCACCTGCTCAATGCAGGACTCAAGTCACCCATCCAGATTTCAGCCCTGCCCGACCCTGCTTAGCTTCCAAGATGAGGCACGATCAGGGTATATGAAGGCTACATGCAATTGACTTATGGATACGCAATTTAAGTCTGACAGAGATCCAGGACAAGGAACGCAGGGATACCTCTCCACAAGAGGCAAATTCCCAGTTTTTAAGTCCTCTTTCTCTCCAGTTTAGCCATCTCATTCTCTGGCATCCACGTCTTTCTCACTACCTCCCCTCTTCACTTGCATTTCCCGAACAATGCCGACGGCATTTAAGGCCACTGCTGGAGCTGAGGTCCTGGATCAATGCTGACCACTTTGCTCAGCAGCTCGGGAGGCCTTCGCAAGCAACGCAGCTCAGCTCCTTTTCGCGCTTGTGGAGGACTGAGCCTTTGCTGCACAGTGCGTTGCTAGTCCAGGTACCCAGGGATTTGAAGGCAAAAGCACAGGGGTTTCGGAGCTGCTGCGGGGAGTCCAAACATCTAACCATTGCAAATATATCATGTTTCCTCCAGCAACCAAACTGTGGTACTTTGGAACTGGGAAAATGCCAAGTTTTCTCTCCCAGCCCACGTTTCAGCTGCATGAATGAATTCTGCATGGAATACGGTTACTTAAATGTAATTGGTATCTTTTGGAGAGGTCCTTCACATTCCTGTTGATGAATCAGAGACATCTTCTCCCACAACACATCTGTCACTTGCTACACACACTTTAAGCACTATCTTATATTTTAAAGGTACAATCCTACACAGGAAGTAGTCCTATAACTCTCAGCATTCCCCAGTGATCGTAGGATTGCATCTTTAGGCTCTCTGCAGTATCCAGCGCCCAATATTGCCCCTTCACGATGATCTTAAAATGCAGGAGGACACCCCGATGCTGTGGACAGCAGTTCCTAGGAATGCTCGCAATGGGAAATCTGGCCTCTTATTTGACCTTGGCAGACTTCCTGCCCACTTCTGAACAGGTGACCAGCAGCTGGCTGAGTCAGGTCCTTTTGCAGACTCGCAGCTCCAAGATGCCCATTTGCATTTTACACATGAAGAAAATGTGCACAAATCAAGGTATTTCGCACAAATTAGCACATGTGGCCCTAGCATGACTTGCCACAAATTGGCAGATTTTACACAAATTTCCTGAGCATTTGTTTTTGTTTTTAATACCCCAAAGTCAGCCCATCTCAGAGACCGAACTCCATGAGCTAACTCAAGCAGGGGCCAGCACAAAACTGGCAAGCCAGAATCGGAGGGTGGGGACAAAAAAATCTATTGGAGTATTACATCCCTATCAGCTCCTTCTTATGTCATAAACGCTGCCCCCTACCACTGCAAGAAATCCATTTACAATGTTGATTAAACATTCAATTTTCAGTGTTTATTAGATTCTGCAAGCTTTCCCCCAGCACTATGATTCATTCCATTCCCAAATCTTTGAAAACAAACTTGATTTCCCTTCCTCTGCTGCTGAGTTTACCAACTAATTAAATTTTCCTCCCAGGCTTGGAAGCAACTGGGGTCCGCTTTGTCCCACCATTTCTGTTATCCCCACACTTTGCAACAAAGGCTAAAAGTGTTTGCCTGAAAGAGCAGAAAAAACAAGAAAGGCCAACTAAACAGACCAGAGAAGCTCGTTAATTGTTGCTTTGTTTCTCTCCTGATCCAATAATCCACACACAGAAAGACAGAGACTCAACAAAAGCATTATCTCTCTTTGCTTCTGTGCAGTACCCCATCCTTCTATTACCAAGACTTCATTAATTTTCCTGAGTGCACTCACAGTGCATTAAGCAACACATTAAGAGGTTGTATTATTAATAATTAAGCCACAAGTTCAAGCCAGCTATCAAGGAATAAGCATCAAAGGCACGCTGCACATTTTTGTGGGTTCACTTCTGTGACGCCAGAAATCACAGGAGATAAACCCGGAATGGGCCGCTTTCTGATCCAACTCGATTCAGGGATTTGGGCAATCCCTCGCCACCTCTGAAATCCCAAGAAAGCTCCACTGTCTCAGCTCTCCTTTGCAGGGCCTCTGCTCCCATACAGTCTTCTAGCCACAGCCCATCCTGACCTGCGAACTGAGGGAGCAGCATCTGCAAAACGTACGCACAGAAAACTGCCAGAACCTGCAAAGCCGGCAAGTTGTCCTGTCGAAATGCAGCGTGATCATTGTCTGTGAATAATCACCTTCACGCCAGTCCACAAGAGCAGCACAAAGGAAACAAGCAGCTAGAAGATAGGAATAACCTTACTGAGATGCAGAGACAGTCTGTTTGCATCTTTCGCCCTAGCACAGCTCCGGGTTTGAAGAATTAGGAGGAGGAGGAAAAGGAGGCGGCGGCAGCACAAATAAGAGCTTAGCAAAGTCCCAGAGCTGTTGCAAGAACTCAGTTCAGATCAGAACCATGGCAAAGGCAGAGCGCTAAAGGCCCCATCCTGACTGAGTTCCGAATCGCCATACTGACTACTTCTTAAGCGGCAACCAGTGATGTAACTGCAAGGGCACAGCCGAGGACCGATGAGTTAATGAACCAGCTCGACTCCGGGATGCTCGAGTGGGTGCCTTCTCTCTAACCAACCTGCCCAGTCACTGCGGACATCCAATGAGATGCTCCCAGTGGGTCCACACGGATCTATGGCCCCACTGGAGTTCACCTGGAAAGAGCCTTCAGAGTGGTGGCCCCTTTCCTGCTGAGCTCAGGCACCAACATCCTTCCCACTGCTTTGGGACCTGCTCCTCCAGGCAGGCCTGGGGGTCAACATGGCTGCATTCAGAGGAAGACAAGTTGCCGTCCTAAGGTTTTGAGGGTTGCAGTCACGAAGAGACCACCCCAGACCGGCCTCCTTTAAGGCATTCAGCCAAGGGGAAGGAAGAGCTGTCCCCCAGTGGAAGCCAAAACATACTTAAGGCTCTGCAGCAACACACAGCTTGTTGGAGCAACTCCCTGGCAAACCTGTCCAGCTTCCCGTCCAGGATCACAAGAAGCTCTCTGAGATGCTGCTACATTGCCCTTCTCTCCAGAAAGCCTCCGTCCCGCATGGCCAAAACCCAGTGAACCTGCCCAGGCCATGCTCTTCCGTGCAAAGCTGGCCTCGCAGAGACCAGCGATGCTGGGCCATGCTGCATTACACAGACCCAGTTAAAGATCTGGATAATATCACATCTGCCTTTGGCAAAAATGAGTAAGCTACAGTGGCAAGAGAAAGGACAGCAAGCCTAGTTTCCAGGGATCTCTATGAAAGATAAAAGTCGGACCCACCAGCCAATTGAAGCTGCATGAGAAGCTAGTTTTGACCTGGGCTCAGGGGGCTCCTTCAGTATGACAGCACGAACTTGCAGGGGATACTCACCAAGCCCCACCACAGTGCGTCCGCGTAGGTGTCAAAGTGCTCGTTTTCTCCCTTCTCGGCCAAGTACACAAGGAAGGAGGCTAGAATGAGGCAGAGGAAGCCAATGTACCACGCAGTGATCAGCTCCTGCAACACAGTTAAGCAGAGCGGAGCGTTCGGTGCAGCTCTTCCCCACGCAGCAGCTTTCCTGCAAAGTGCAGAGGCAGAGTGCAGAACTGATGGGCGCACAGAGCAGCTCCGGAGACGGCGGTAGCTGAAGAGAGCAGGCCAGTCCCCGGGGGAGCAGCTGCTGTCAGCGCATTTGGCACAGAAGCGTGGAAACAGCTGTGCCCAGGGCCAGTTTCGGGCTGTGCCTTAGGCACGATGCCCTCCCCGAAGGCCCTCCCGCAGCAAGCCTATCCTTCGAATGCCCTTGTCCCCAGCTGCTGCCGCTCCTTCTCTTGCTTGCCGAGGAGCAAGTCGGTGGCAGCTTTTGCTCTTCTTCATTCTCACCCTCACCTTGACCAGGGACCAGAATAAGGCACAGGCAAACAAGCAGGACACAAGCGAGGGCCAGTGCGGCACGGTGGCAAGAGCATTGGCCCGGGGACCTGGGAGAGCTGGGTTCGAGTCCCCCCTCAGCCACAGAGCTCCCTGGGTGACCCTGAACCAGCACGGACTCTCCGCCTAACCTACCTCACAGGGTTGTTGTTGTGAGGATGAGAGTGAGAGAAAGAGGAGAATGACATAAGCGGCTTTGAATTCCTTGGGAGGAAAAAAGGCAGGACAGAGATACAATAAAGAAAGAACTGTGAGAAGGAGAAACAGGTGCAGGGGCTTCTGCTGCAGTGCCGCCCCTTGGCCACCCACCCAGCCATGCCAACTCTTGACGCCAACAAATGTTTCCCGTTACCTATTTGAAATGGCTGTCTTCTGCCGCAGAATTACATAGGCCAGCACCTTTGCCTCTCTGTGTTTTAAAAAAGAATTCCACTGTTCTGAAGAGGGTTTCAGAGCAAGCGGAAGCTGGCCGAGGGGATCCCCCAGACAATCCTGCAGGATGGCTTGGACTAAGAAAAAGCAGAGTGGGCGACCTGAGGGCCAAAGTCCAGCTTCTGTCCACAACCACAGTCAGGGATGTCCAGTCCACGTGTACGATGGGCCATTTCACTGACCATCATGGAATTGGCAAGGAGCTTTCCACAAACAAGTAGAAAGACCAGCGGTTTTGACGGCTTCACCAACCTGGTGCTCTCCACATGTGCTGAAGTACCGCACCCATCTGCCACTAGTAGCCGCTGTGGTGGGGCTGACAGGAGTTGTAGTCTCACACATCTGCAGGACACCAGTCTGAGACACTCCTGACATGTTTTGTTTATGGCATTTTCATGGAGAATTTAGATATTATGATGGAGGAGTTGAGTTCTAGAGCCTCTTACATCACACTCAGCCAATCTGACCTGATTAAATGTATTTGCCAGCACTTAAACAATAAGAGTTTGCATATCCGTTGGCTCGAGGCAATGATCTCTCTCAGGGGGAATAGAAACAACTGATATTTTCCACTAATGCCTTGAATTATTATTTTTTTATATAACTGCATTGCCTCGCTGGGGAATTCTGTCCTTTTTCATCTAAAATATAAAAATGAGATTTCATGTCAGGACCCAAAACTGACAGAACTTTAATATCATTTTGCTGAGTTCTGAACCCTACTGCCCAATCATGAAACCTGAAATTTACTGGTGGCTTCCTACTTCCCAGGCTAATATGTCAAAGCAAAGATATCCCAAAATTAAAATGTTCATATTTGCACTTGCTTATTTTAAAATTAGGAGTTTGCAATGCTTGCAAAGTGTGCAAAGTGTGATTCACTCTGCCTGAGAGGAAACTCCCAGCTCGTCTCTCCTGACATCTTGTCGTTGAGTCAGGAACCGGCAAAGGCAATATGTCTCCTCTCCACTTCTTGGACCACTCCTGTCCTTCCCAAAACATTCCTACTCTCCTGGTCAGCCCGGGGAACCTAGAGGGTGCTTCAAAGGGCTCTGTCACTCCCAAAGACTCCCCAGTCTCCAAAGCTCCTATTTCCATATCTTCAAGGCCTTCTTTTTCAAAATTACTTTCAAAGTTATTCTCACATAACGCTGGTCCTCTACCAGCTCCACTGGCTGCCAGTTGAAGTCCGGGCCCAATTCAAGGTGCCGGACTTGACCTATAAAGCCCCAAACGGCTTGGGACCAGGATACCTGAAGGAACGTCTCCTTCCTTATACGCCCTCATGGCCCTTAAGATCTGCGGGAGAAGCCCTGCTCTGGGAACCCTCTCTAAGAGAGGTAAAAAGGTCATCAACTCAGAGCAGGGCCTTTTCAGCGGTGGTGCCAGAGAGGTACGCCTGGCACCAAGCTTATACTCCTTTTGGCACCAGGTCAAAAGCTTTTTATTTAAATGGCATTTTAAAATCTACAGTTTTTAACATTTAGTCGCTCTAGTTTGTTTTGTGATTTACTGTTTATTGTTTTGTTTTATACACTGTTTTGTTTCTAATTCATTTATTGGAAATTGTTGCTGTTTTAAATTGTCCTTTTAAAGCATTGTAAGCCGTCCTGAGATTTCTATATAATAGGACGGCATGTAAAAGCTTTTAATTAATAAATAATAAATACAATCCCAGCCATGACAACTCTGCCCACCAAGAATGGCAGTTGGGTTCACTCACTGCACTGCCATGAAAATCAGCTCTACTCAAGCTACGGTTTTGTTCCCCAAACCTTACTGGGGCAAGTGCCTCTGGAACAGGCTGTGCAGTCCCCAAATCCGAGATACTAGTGGAGAACTCGTTCCGCCAGGTGCAGTGCAGGGCCTGGGTATGCTTCTCAAAAAGCTGCAGAGACTCGCCTTGCTGTGAGCATACACCACCGATCCAAGGAGCTTCCATGTGCCTCCCCTACGGTCCATCCGTATCATGCGCAGTATCTGCAGGAACCGCAGACTCCGGAGTGCCGAGGTGGCGAAGACATTGCCCTGGGATCCAGCAGCCAGCACGGCAATGGAGGCAATCAACACCATGATGTCTGCAGAAACGGGACACAAGCGGAGCGCTCGCTGAATCCCCCTTTTCCAAGAACATGCTTGGTATCCTGGCTCTCTCCCTTTGGAGAGACAGGACATGGAAAAATCCCCGCCTCATCCAGATAAGCCAAATGACTAGAACAACCTTTCCCAATTGGCTGCCCTCCTCCTGTCTTGGTCGAAAAGCCCCATTGTCCCCAGCCAACATGGACATTGCTGGGTTGGTTGGGAAGATGGGCTTCTGAAGAATGCTAGGCCAGGCCAGGCCAGGCCAGAAGGGGGCACAAGAGGTGGATAATAGGCCTTCTGCCTCCATTAGATCTGATGGTTGGGACACCAGCTTTCTTGTGGCCTGCAGCAGGTGTCTGACTCAGTAGCCAAAACACCAGCAAGTTGGTCCACCACGGTGGAAACTGCCTTGTTTGCGGGCTTACAGCCAACAGGTGTGGAAGGGGGCCATGGGGCTGGCTCTGGCATCAGCAAAGGCATGGCACCAAAGTGAGCAGGGCCTCTTTCCTTCTCCAGAGCTGATGCAGCCATGAAGCAAGAAGAAAACTTCTGGCAGTGCGACCGGGACTTTGAGCCCAGTAGGTGCAAGAAGGAGTTGGTGGACCAGCGTGACCTGAAGTTAGGTGAGGAAAATGTCTTCCTTTCCCTTAGCATTCTCTGGAAGAAAGTGGAGGAGAAGATGGAAAGTTCTTTAGTTGCTTTTTCTTTTAAGGCTCCCTGGGCCAAAAAGAAAAATGCACGAAGCAACCTTTTTGTCGGAAGGGCAAATCAGAGTCCAAATCTGGGAAAGGATTTTTGGACTTCAACTCTGCCTGCTAACCAAAAATGAATTAACTCTTTGCTGCCTGCTCTCCTACAGGATGAATGAAAAGCAGCTTTTCGCAGCATCCCATCTGACAGCTGATTCATATCTGCATTTCTTTCTGAGGACAAACTGAGCAATATGGTCAGGGACCTGTCCAGTGCCCCTACCGCATGGTCTTCCAGGCATATCCTCCAAGTGCCGGCCCTCCATTTCCAAGTTTACAGCAAACAATGATTTGGGAAGGGATCACATGTTTGTGACAAACTGCTAAGTTTCATTCTGAGTCATATTCCAAAGGTTGAGAATCTGAATGGGAAAGCCAGATGGCTTAAGTACAGGGATGACAGACAGACAGACAGACAGACAGATGGATCAATAGACAGATTTCCCAATACAGAGAATAGAATCTCTTTGTATTTGGCAGTCAAAGCCAAATTCAGTAGCAGCTAGTGCCAAATTCAAAACTGGGATCCAATTTTCTTTAGCAAACCAAGATCTGCATCATATCATGCTGTGAGATGTATTACAAGAAGAGTTCTACAGCATTTAAAATCCAGGACACCATCTTAGACTGAGTCCAACTGACTACAGGAAGCTAAATCAGGGCCTGGAAGAGTAGTTTAAGCCATAACACAGACCATTATAACCGCAACCTACATAGAATTTCAAGGGCAGCTCTGGGTGCTAACGCATTAATCCACACAATGCGTATTCAAGCAAGCAACTCTTGAGAGTCTGAAGGCAATTAAAGCAATTATGAGGGTTCCTTGCTCTTCTCTTCCCTCCACACAGTTGTTCTAAAAATACTCCCTTCCTTAGCAGATGAAGCAGATTGCTAGCAGGTTTAAGGCCACAAGTGAACAGTGCGAATTGATAGCAGCCTTCAACTTTTCCAGTCTTGGAACCCACTTCCAGCCCAAACACACACTTGTACCAGATATTTGTATACTGGTAGTGCTGTTTTTGTAACTCATCTCAGTTCAGGCTGCCAGGAGTGGTGCCCAACCTAGTGGCTGAAGACCGGGTGTGTGCAGCAAGACTGTTACTGAGGGAAACGCACTCTGCACATGTTCAGGAGCCCCACACCTCAATATTTCTAAAGCCCTGCAGATGGCCAAGCATCTTCACAGCTGATCAGCAAAGCTAAGGAGGGCACTGGCTGGCCAGGAGCCACATGGCTACCATGCTTTTTTAAGGGCTAGAGAAGGGGCGGCCAGACTTGCCCAATGGAAGAGTCACATACAGAAACATCAGAGCCTCAAGACATGAGCAAATATTTATTATTTATTTATGAAGACCACACAGACACTGCTACAAATATCGCGCCAATTCAGCTAATGGAACTATAGACGTAAGCTCTGCCAAACACAGTAGGATTGTTTGCTGCATATTGGATGCCAGGAAGCACTTTCTGACAGTCAGGACCCCAAGAGCATGGAATGGGCTTCCACGGGAGGTGATTGAGGCCCCATTGGTGAGGGTGTTCAAAGACAGGCTGGACATGCACATGGTGGGCATGTCATGAACGGAGCTGCTGGAGCTGGGGGTCAGACTAGATGGCCCGGGAGACCCCTTCTGACTCTCTATGATCCTATTAGGGTACCACCATGCTTTCAAGACAGAGTGACTAAAAACCTTTTGGAGTGGGACCTCTCTCTTTCCTCCTTAGCTCTGAACACTGGAGGAAACCAAGCAACCACACACTGCCGCCTTGGGAGCTCGGATGCAAGAAATCACCCGGCAGCAAAAGCAGCCAAAAATGTTCTCACCAGCTGCTGTGCCGGAAGCTTCAACGAGGACTTGATTCTCCCCTGGAGTGCAGCAGATGAAGCTCCCCAATTGTGCCTGTCTCCCTTGGCCTCAATTCTGCACCTTGTCTGAGCAGGTGCATCCTGTCCCCTCCCCAATCCATGCCAGAAGTAAATAGGGACCAATTATGCTAAACACCTTTTCAGCCCCTCTGAGAATTGCAAAATAAACTCCCAAGAGCTCGTGTGGCTCGCGAGCCTCGGTTTGGCCACCCCTGGGCTAGCATCCGTCCTGAAAGCAGGCAGGTGTTCAAGTTCCCGTGCAACCCTCAGGAGCCAATCCAGCAACAAGGAAGTTCTTACCGATGACACAAAACGGTTTGCGGGCAAATTTCAACCTTCCTCTCCAGCCCCGATAGCGGCAACAGCAGCCAGCAGCCCAGATCCGTACAAAGTACTCCACGCCAAAGACCACGATGGTGACTATTTCCTGCAGCGGAGACAGCAAAGTAAGACCAATGGGCAGCCAAAGGAAGAGAATTCTGCAGAGCAAACCACGTGGGTTTTTCCAGAACTTGAGCCTAAAAAACGGGCCCCTCTGGACTGATCCCAGAAAGGGATCCCATGTGCAAAACATCCCTTTCCTCTTTGACCACAGAGGTGAGTTTGATTCATCTAGCTTTTTCTTCACAGTTCCTCAAAGGAAGATATTGCTCCCTGGGGGGCCCAAAGCATTAGGAGAGGCCAGAAAAGCATCTGTACCAGCAGGAGATGCTTTGCAGGCCTCCTAGTTCCTCTTCAGCTTCTCACCAGAAGCCACGCCGTCAATGCTAAGGAAAGCCAAGCTGCTCAGAGATGAAAAGCCAGTCAGCTGCAGAGCAAAGGTGGCTGGAGGACCAAATTGTGGAGAAAAAGAACCTTGTCTTGCCTTGTTTGCAATGCATTGTGGGAAGAACTGAGCCTTCCGTCAGCCAAGCTCACCTAGAGCACAACACTTTGTGTGTTTAGACAAAGCTGCAGAGAAAGCTGAGAGTGGTCGGACTTTGCGTTGTCTGTGCACACTTAGGACTGTGCCCGTCAGTCATTCTTACCCTGCATCGAATCTACAAATTTGGCTGTCTTTGCCTCTCTACAAAATGAGCGAAACATGCCTTTGGGGCATTGTAAGACGCCAACAGTTACTGGAGTGGAAATTCAAGCAGTTGTGATTTTGGTTTAGGATGCAATCCTATGACATTTGAGAGAGTAAAAGTCCTACAGCTCCCAACATGCTGGAACCTGCAGGCCATTTAACTTGCACAGCAATGCATCCTGAGACAGCCATTTCTGAAATATTTATAAACCCAAACAATTCATGAGATGGTTGCAAAACACGAGGCTGGTTCTGATTGCCATCATTACTGGGAGCCTTCATGCATGAAGCTGTTAATCTGCTGCATTTCCTTTCACTTTCATCACAGAATTGTGAGTGAAGCACTACACAAATGTTTTCTTTCCCGCTTTTCCTGTATATAACCTCTAGGGGGCAGTGTGGCATAGCAAAATAGCACAAATACGCAAGAGAGAATTGGGTTTCCTTTCTCATTCACAATTAAATGCCACATTAAATACCAGCTTCCAAAAAAAAAAAAAAAAAAAATCTAGCACAAAGCATTGGTTAGACACAGAAGCAAAACCAGAAGGTCACAACGTCACCTAAAGAACCTATAAACAACCACAAGTAATGGCAATCACATAATAAACACATTGTATAAACAAGCCCTAGGAAGACAAGTTATTTGGAATCCAAAAATGATCTTAAAACTGATCGTGGCTGCCCTTGTCCGAATACCAAGTACAAGGCACAGGATTCTCCATGGCACACCCTCCCTTCTGCAAAAACGAAACAAAAATGGCCACCAGAAAAGGCCGGCCTTGAAAGATTGCCAAAAGGGAGCATAATATTAGCAAAATGCTTGCACTCAAGCACCCACCCACCAGTCCTTCCCTCCCCAAGCAGCTTAGCGTCACACTTACCAGAATGTAAAGTGCACCTTCGGAACTCGCCTCATAGTCATCAATAGTTGAAAAGACGGAAAGCACCAAGCAGGAGAAAACTAGTAGAAAACTGCAAAGTGTGGAAAGACAGAAAAGGCAACAATATTAATTCCAGTTGAGGCAGAAAGTGGATTTTCCCCACAACCTTCTTGCTTCAGTCACTACAGGCATTCCAGACAGCAGACCTGAAGACTAAGTTGCTTATTTCAGCAGGACAAAAAAGGAGATGGATTTGCATAAAAGGTCCATATGCCAAGCTCTATCTATAGATGCAAACTTAAGATAGTAACTGTAATTGTAATACAGGCCATCAGAGTGGGGAAGCTCTGGACAGATGTGCAGTGTTCCCGCCCTTCCTATGGTCCAGTCACAATTTTGCCAATGGGTGACTTCAAAGCCCAGTTCTCTCTCCTCGTGGCTTTTTTCTGTTGAACTGAACTTGGACCTGGCAGTCCTTTAACAGGAGGACACCCTGACACACAGAATTATCCTCTGACAAAGACTCTCCTCTGCAAAGGAGGACACAAGGCCACCCCACCCATCTGCACACAATTTAGCCACTGTCAAGAATTGCTCTCAAGTCTGGGGATGCACAGGTGTTGTTAAATCCATTCCGTCTGCTCTTTGAGAACGGTCATATGTCCTTTGTTCCATTGTTCACTTGCTGAGGCAATTAGATTTTTTCCTTCCAGCCATCTCCCATCATCCTCAGCCATGGTGCTATCCTAACCTAGTCTATCATGTCATAACTCGTGGCCTTGGAGGAAAAAGGCAGGCAGTGGCACAGAAAAGCACGGGGCAGCTACTCTGGCACAGGTTCTCACTGCATGCGCTTCACTTCACGCTTTAGGGTACCTGTGAGGAAGGCAGAAACATTGTGTGAAGAGGCGGCGGTGGAAAATGGGCCACCCAGCCCTGCTTTGACCCAGATAGATCAGAGGTGAAGAGCTGCTTGTGAGGTTTGAGAAATACACTCAACTGCAAAGGAGAGGGCTGAATGGTGATCGAGGGGAAGGAAAGGGCGCTACAGGAAAGGTGGAGCGTACATGCGCACACACGATGGAAAAATGAGGAAAAAGAAAACAAGGGTTTCAATGCCGTCTTTTTATTCCATTTGCATCCTGTCATCTTGAAGGGCTCCAAATGGCTTAATGAAGGTTCCCAGAAGTCCCCCCTCCAAGCAGTCCGGCATCATTACTGGCTCTTATTGCATGTGTTTTGGCACCCTGCTGAGCAACTGGTGACGCTCACGGACTGCACCGCTCCACTGGGACGCCCACGCCCGGCCTTGTCCTCCCAAGGATCTTCCGCTTGTCTGCTTTCCACCACCAACTCAAGTCAGTGCTGTTGCATGCAGCGGGGCTTACTTCTGAGTAAACATGCATAGCAACATGCTGCGTTTGCTCCTGCTGCTGATTTTTAAATACATATATGTATCACCTGGACCACTTTTCTTGTTGCAAAGGCAACTGGCATGATTTACAAACAAAAAATACAAATGAAGTAAAAACAGAGAGCGTTTAAAAATAACCATAATTAAATAAAGCAAATCCTTTGTATCCTGCTGCATTTGTATGAGCCAGCAGCCATCTTGCTAATTACAGCTGTCAAGGAAGACGTAGGAGGTGCTTCCTCACAAGTTCTGCAGGAAATTTTAGCGTGAGGCCCATATGTCCAGCCGCGAACCTGTGCTCTGAATAGATTACAATACATATCTGCATCTTTAGGGGTACGATTTTATGGCTTCCCGGCACTGTCCTGGTCGGAGTCCCAGCTGCGACCTCAGAAAAACACTCCAAGGTCAGACCAGGACTTCGACACCGGAAGGCTTTCCCTTCACCCTCACAGCCAGCCAATTCTTTCTGTGCTAGTTGGGCTCCGAAATAGGAAGCCAGCATGCGGGGAGCCGGGAGACTGAGGGTGTCCCTTCCTTAAGCAGGCACTCAACCTTTACCCTAAACCTTCCTTCATGTTAGTCCTGATCCCCCTTTGCTCCTAACCCTTTTGATGTTTCCAGCATTTACCACTGCATTATTTTGAATTTTCTGTTGCACAATGTGAGTTGTTTGCTGCTTTGGCAAGGCTGGTTTTCTGAGCACAGAGCATCCCAAGGCCATTTGCCTGTTGGGCAGCACACAAATCGCATGAATGTATCAGCAGGGAGAAGACGCAAGTACACAGGTGTTGTCAGTATGGTCTGGGTAAGCAGCTAGGAGCGGGCAACTGAGCCTGCAAACACACAGACACGCACACTCACGCACGCCATCCCCAGGAAAGATCCTGGCTTCCCACAGCAAGGGAGACGCAGAGCTGCCCCATGCCCTCTTGGAAGGCTCGTGCACAGTGCTAGAAACCACTCTTCCCTGCACACACCGATTCCATGTGCTGCAGCAATCACCCAGACCCTGGCAGGGGCTGCCTTGTGTGGAGGCTGCCGTGCCAGAGCATTTAAGGGTCCCACCATGCCTCCAATGAGGCATCACTTTGGGGCCCTCTGGGAAGCTTACATCAGTAGATGCCTGCAGGTAGGGTTGGGAGGAGGCCTAGCGGAACGGATCCGTCGAGCGTTCAGGGGCTCCTTCTCCTGCGTGGCCCAGTCCTGCGAAGCGAGCTGAGTCAAGGGCGTGTCCATAAATGCTCGTGGACCACGGCTGAGCAACCGGCAACCTCCTCCTGCATGCGGTGCACCGCATAAAGGAGCGCTGAATGTGGCACGGAAAAGGGAGGTGGCTTGTGCCGCTCAGCACGCCGGGCGGCATTCCTGGGATTTTTTTTAAATTAAAGTCATGGCCAAATCTTGCGAAGGTCAGATTCTCAAGACGGAACTGAAATAGTCTGGCTACCTAAAGAGAAGGAACAACTCACTGGAGAAGCCCCCGGTGCTGGGAACTATTGAAGGCAAAGGGAGAAGGGGACGGCAGAGGCTGAGGTGGCTGGATGGAGTCACTGAAGCAGTTGGTGTGAGCTTAAGTGGACTCCAGGGGATGGTGGAGGACAGGAAGGCCTGGAGGAATGTTGTCCATGGGGTCATGATGGGTTGGGCATGACTTTGCGACTAAACAAAAAATGGCCAAATACTTTACTAATACTAAAAAAAAAGCAATCCAGTATAAAACAGGTAAGTTCATAAGTACATTTACTGGGGTGGCAAGACTCGCTCAACAGAAGAGCCACATATGGTAAATGCCAGATGTTTCAGAGATCCAAGTAGGTGCTCACAGGTGTGAACTGCAATCCGAAAAATAAATTCTAAGAGCCACATGCAACTCCCAAGCCTCCATCTGTCCACCCCTGACAGACGTAATTACTACCAATCGTTGATTTATTTATTGGATCAGCCATAGGTTCTCTGGGCAGCTCACAACATGATGCAGAAATCGAAATGATGAAGTCAAATACATATCACAATAAAATGTAGTAACAAACAATAAACAATAAAAGCAATAAATAAAATTAGTAAAATAACATAAGCCAAAATAGAATAAGATATGCTATAAGAGGGGGACATAAAATTAAACTTTCAATAGATGATAGCATTTTAAAATAGCCTGAAAGGCAGATAAGAATTATACACAATAGAATTAAATAAAAATTATCTGGCTCTAAAATCATAATATAACAGTGGCAAGTAGCAATATAAACAATTAAACCCATTAAACCAATTGGCTGACCTTTCAAAATGATCGTGAATAGAAAAAAATAACTGACATCTAAAAGAATAAAGAGATGATGCCAGCCGGATGTCTGAAGGAAGCAAGTTTATTATGGCACTATATATTATATGGATTATACCAGGAGTATGAAGGTTGTTTCCCAGGGACAGATTCCCACGCACCCACCCGACATTCCCCTCCACATTCTGCCTGCGAGTCACCCAGCCCTGCTTGCAGCCCAGCTGGGCAAGGATTGCAAATGAAAGGGAGGCCTTCCCTTACATGAAGGCACTTCTTCAAAGCCCCCCCCCCCCCCAGTCCTGGAGCTGCCCCCATCCAAGTCAACCTGTTCACAGGTATGAGGACATAGAAGGAGTTGGTGCCATGATGTGGCCCAATGGGAGGAACACGATGCCCTCTTTCAAGGGCTCAGGGGTATCAGCTACTGCGGGGGGGGGGGGGGGTCTAGCACTGCCCTGAGGCAAACTGCAGGGCAATTCCTATCAGCAGAGCTCTGAAGCCCCTCACTTTCCTGAGCTGCGTCCTTCCCTTCCTGCCCTTAAGCTGCAAAACTGTCTCTCTGCAATGCAGATCTTCACTGGCACTTCCCAGCTGCAAGACCAAGGGACTCTACAAACCCTCTAGTAGGCTGGAAGACCAGCTTCTGCTCGTGTCAAGAGTGATGAACCCAAACTGGGAGCTTCTCTCCAAAACTCTTCCCTTAGGGTGGCTCCTGTGGGGGAAAGGCTAGTGGGTGAGACTTACACAAGCCCTCTAACTGGGCAACTCATCTCTCCTGATGCCTCATCACAGGATCAAGGGCCGGGCAAGGCAAAAGCTAGCTCGCCTCCTTCTTGAACCTCTCATGCCTCTTCCAAAACATCTCTGCTCTGACAGCCAGCCTGGGGACCTGTGGTCAGTGACCCTGAAGGTGCGTCAAAGGCCTCTGCCTCTCCTGGAGTTTCCAAAAGTGCTATCACCAAAGCTTCAAGGTCTCCTCCAGAATCCCAGTCAGGATGACTCTGGGATGACCACCAAGAGTGGAGGTCGGCTTCACTCACTAGTCATGTTCATCAACAGGAAAAGTGTCCAAAGCAGAGTCTCAGACAAACTCCCAAGTCCAGCACAGATAAGCAGTCCTGCCCAAGCCAAGCTAACGGGAACAGGGTTCCTTCCGGGAGTCCGGGGCTTGACAAGACAAGACCTGTCCAAAGAAGAGGCAGGGTCAGGACAGCCAGGGTGCGAGTCGTGGGCAATGAAGCAAAGGTGCTCTCCCACCAGCCCTCCCTCCCTAGGTCAGGAGTAGAGAACCTGGAGCTTCCAGCGCCTTGCCCAGGACTCAACAAAACATCAGAGACTTCTGGAAGAAGTCCTCCTCCTGAGCAAGGCCGTCCTCGCAAAGAGTGCTTTCCTCACGAGGAGACCCTCTTTGCC